CGACATTCCACTTCACAGCAACATTCGGTGGCTAAGTGGTGGCAAGGTTTTGGTGTGCTTTGTAAACTGTTTTGATGCAATCGAGGCCTTTTTGTCAGAAAAAGGACAAAACTACCCCGAACTGGAAGATAACAGATGGCTGAATAAGCTCATGTTTCTAACTGACATCACCGCTCACCTAAACAAACTCAACCTCTATCTCCAGGGTGCAGGGCAAACGATTCTGGATCTTTATGAAGCCTGGAAGGCATTTGTTGTAAAACTAGCAGTTTTTTCCTCGGGATATTCGAACTTCTACTTTCCGCTACTTCCAACACATAAAAGAGCTATTGACACGTTGCCCTGTCAGTGTCGATGAGATTGGAATGTACATGCAAGAACTGGAATCAGAATTTTCTGACAGATTTCCAGCGATTTGGCCCAATGCTTTCTTTTCTAATTAAACCTGAAAAGTCCTGCCAAAAAATTTTTTAGAGGAGAGCTTGCTGAAGCTTATGAGAAGACAGACCAGAGACATGAGGGACCGCATAAGCAGCAGCGACATTGGAACTGATTGCAAAAAAGAGCCACAGCACTCCTAGAGGGAAGCTAACCAAACCATTGAAAAATCTCTCACCAGCAGCAGGAACATCTTCTCCCCAGTCTTGTATGTAACAAACTCTAAGTGAGGAGGGGAATTCAAAACTGACTTAGAGGGAGGAAAAAAAATGTTAAAAAAAGAAATATAAATATAAATATCTACAAATATAAAAGGCCCCCTTTCAAAAACTCCACCCTAGCTACACTGCATGGCCATTGAAACAGGCATGGGACTGAAGGGGCTGTATGCATGCTAGCCTCCAAAGCAGGTATAGTAGCACACATTTCCAAGATAGTCAAGCAGGATCAACCTGAGGACATCTGGAATGCGGACCATTTCATCTTTGTATTGGTCGAAGTGCTGAAAATAGCTGTAGTGCTATTGGACTCCAAATGCTTCTCCTCACAGGATCCTTTCCCTAAATATTCTCCAAGTTTTTCTTTTATAGAAAGCCCGGCTGAGTTGCACTAATGACTATGTGACCCATTATAGATTACCTAATTTTGCAAATTAGCACTATTTTTTTTAAAAAAGCAGGCTTTGTAACATAGGATCTAATAATGGGACCTGCTAATAAATCTGAGTGGAGAAATGGAATTAGATCCTTTAATTCTCACTTGGCTAATCTGTAATTTCAAATGAATTTATTTTCTCTCTCTCTTATTATCATTTCTCTCTCTTCCTCTTCTAGCTGGAACATGTACGTGAAAAAGGAAATGAGGATGAGAAGAGTACAAAAAGATTTGAAGAGGAAGTGTGGGGGTTAGGCTATGAATACCAGCAGCAGAACTCATCCTTTTGGTCCTTCTTGCTCCCTAGTAGATGGAGGTTACAGGTCAGGATGTTTTCCTTTATTGAAAGGAGAATAGTCAAAAAGATCCAGTTTTCTTTCCCGTTGTTAACAGTATGGAATGGTAAGGTACTGCTCTAGAGTGTTAGCTCCTAATCAGATATGATTTTTATTTTACTAATTTTATATTGTAATTATGTGCATCTTCTTTATCCAGACATCTAAGTGAATTTAATTTGGCAGGTCCCAACAGCATCTGAGCCTATTCACTGATGACAGGTCAAACTGAGTTCCAATCTTGGAAAAATCAGCTACAGAACTGGCTCACAGAGGCACAATAGCTGAATTTACACATAACAGAGAACAGGAATGAGTCCTTAGTCTCTACTCTTAGCCTCAGCTTCACAAAACCATCACATAATGACTGGCACAAACGATAAGCCATTGTATCTCATTCCATCGCTATTTTAGGACTATAAAAAAATTGAAGGTTATCACTTCTACAGCACCCAGGAGCACAGTGGACACTTTATAATAAATAGGAAGACATGACCCAAAAGAGTTATTACAATATTTAAGCATATATGTAACTTTAATTAGATGAGTAGTCTCACTGATGCTTAAAGCTAAGCACATAAGTAAGCGTTTCTCAGGACTGGGGTCTGTTTTTTGCACAGGAGGCAATGAGAGGGGCTGACTAACATTAGAGAAGGGAAGGAACATGAAACGAACAACAATTGCAGCAATAATTCAGTTTGGATGTAAACAACTTGGTGGTAGAATTTTTGTTTTTAAATAAAAACAATGATGTTAGGATTCATCACAGAAGCAGCAAGACTTAAGGAGGAATCTGTACAAGGCCAAAGTAATAATTCAGCAGGTCAAGGCTAAAAGGGCATTCTGTGCATCAAAGGCAGTTTGAAAAAAACACAGAGATGGCTGTGGGAGAAGCAGACAGCAGGGCATCGAAAAGACATCACTGGCAGAGCAGAAAGGCTTCGGGATGCTGAAGTTAGAAATGTCAGCGCGGGTGTTATGTAGGCCTTTGTAGACATGGACAAGATGTCTAACTTGATGCAGAAGACAAAGGGGAGGCAGGGTGACAAAAATAGCACACTTTGATACACTTCCACCAGAGAAGAACCCTATAAAAACTTACCTATTACAACCTATGAGAAGTGTAACATTTCTGTACATAAAGAATGTCATTTAAAACGGGGAAAGCAATCAGTACCTGGTGATTCCTTAGAGGAAGCAGCATGTCTTGCTAAGTGATTGTTGATTATATCTACTGCCTTGAAGTTTTTGTTTTTTTTCAAGATATCTGTGGCACACCTTGCTTGTGTGTCTGGAATAGTGGGGTCCACCCCAGCATTTAGGAGCATCTGCACATTTTCTGTCTGACCTGAAACATAAAATAAATACAGTAGAGAGTTAGCACTATCCTCTTGTCCAGAATGAAAGAAAAATCACTGCCATGGTTTCAAATGCTTTTTTAATCAAAGAAAGAACAGCTCAATTTTATAGAAGCTGTTATACTTGGAGTTGGTCCTTACAGGAAACAATGCATTTTATCAATTTGTTTTGGGAGGTGTATTTTTGATGCTGGGGTTTTTGTTGTTGGTTTTTGTTTTTTTCTTTTTGGTGGGTTGGTTGGTGAAAGAGGAAAGCATGTTCAAAAGTATCTAAGATACTTAGCCTGAAACCACAGCTAGTCACTAGGGGTTTTTTTCATATCAGGAGTGGCATAAAAATATGATTACCTAATAACAAGCTTTGCCATATATGTTATCTCCACTTCGATAAATATGACAGTACTACCAGTCTCTTCAATGGAAGCTAGTATCCTAATATAACTGCCTCTAAAACACTGCAGAACAAACAATTGGCCAAACCCCAAAATATAAATTCTGATTCGATGCTTGACACAATATCTTTAATATACCACAAGGCTCTATACTCCTGTCTCACTTTGTCACATTCCATTATGATGGGCATTGTGCTACCCTGAGAGAAGGAGATGTACTCTCTTTGCCTCAAACAGCTGAACATGTGCTATAAATCATAGTCAAAGAACAGCAAGGAGGAGCATCGGAGAATCAAAGGATCAGCCAGGCAAGTGAAAGGAGCATAAAATGATCGCTAGGAAAGCTGCATCAAATTATTTCCACTTTCCTCAGATACAACTGCAAGTTTAACAACTTGAATCGCTGTATGTGTCCCGCTTGCTAGAATACCAGGCAAAACTTGGAGAAGAAAAGGTTGGGAAGAAGTGAGACACCTTTACACACAACACACTTTTCTTGCTTTTGTACACGTGTGCCTTGCCATTCATGTTATTTTAACTGAGTTTTGTCAGCAAGATGGCCTGAAATGTCTTCCATTATCTGCTCTGCAAGAACTGTGCTCGCTGTGCAACAGATGGGACAGCAGTGAGAGAAGAAATGTGACTCGTCTACAGCAAAACTAAATTAAATAGTATGAATGAAACTCACACAGATAATCAAAGGGAGGCCCCAGAATGCCATTGTGTATAATGAACAAAAAGCCTAGGATAACTTCAGGACTGATGCTTACTTCCTGTTTCCACCCAGTGGATTTATTAAGAAATGCAAATAAAAAGCAAACCAGGTTTCTATAGTTATAAGATAAAAGCATCCACAGAGATGGCAGAGCTATTTGACCCCCACAAGAAAGCTAAAGAAAAGCAGCTCTCAAAGTTTACATGTCTAAGCCAAAACACACTGCTACTGACATCAAGGGAAGCTTTTATTTGGTTCTCCTCTACAAGGGAGAAAAAACTCAGACTAGTTTGAGGCCTAATTTTCTTCTAATTTCTGAGAGCATCAATACATAAATGGACCAAGAAAGATATAAATACATTGCAGCAAGTTGTGGCTAAATCTTAATCCACCAAACCAAAGTAAAAGACCGTACCCAGAGTAACTATGCAAAATGACACAAATTGTCCACCAAAGCAGTGCCCTATAATTTTTTAAGTTCCGCTATATTTGATAGTTATAAATGTACACTGAGCCTGCAAGTCTTTTGTCATTCTCCTTCTTGGCATGAAATAAAGAATATCAGTGTTTGGAGTTTTTTTCTTTCGCCATAAAAAACAGAAGTCCAAGTTGATGAAAAAGTCCATTTGGAATTACATACGTTTCGTAGGATATCCACTGGAATGAGAGGCCACGACATGCAAGACTGTGCAACCATCCTGGTCTTGCTGGTTGATACTACCCTTCAAGTCTGGTATCTCATCTAGTAGCCATCTGAAAAGATGGTTCCCTTCTGAAATGATTATAAATTAAAACCACATGTTATTAAACAGCACACTTTGTCCTGTTAGGACAGGATAGGGGGAAGCATTATTGCTCCCCCGCACCCCTGCCAGAGGTGGGCAGACAAGCTATCAAAGACTTTCTCTTTAAAAGTTAAGGGTGACAGAGAGGAAAGTATAGTGTAAAATACCAAGCAACAAATGGTGTCAAGTGCCAGCTGCATTGTCGGAGATAAACAACCAAATTTTGCCCTAACACATGCAGCTCTGAATTTGGACCGCAAATTTTAAACATGTACCCTGATCCCCAGACAGGTTTTTCAGAGTTGACACATTCAGGGTCTGAGATGGTCACATCAGTTACCCTTCAGGTTTGAATCAAAGAAGAGAGGGTCATTATTAGGCTCCCAGGACTCCCAGGTACACATGAACTGAACACATTTTTAAGAGTAATGACTAAAGCTGTGTAAGTAAAATATATACTTTAGATTGTTAAATATGAGCTTTATCTGCAAATTCTCTGTAGGTTGACTACGGTTGCTTTTGTTTTATACTGACATGAGATGTCACTCACTTGCTTTGATACAGAGGTTGATAATTGCATGAAGTGGGTATGCTCCAATGCTCCCAACATTTGCTCCAATGGTGATCAGCCACTCCACCAACTCTGGTACCCTTTCCATTCTCTCATAATGACCAAACAGGACATATTTCTGATAACAAAGAAATAGAGAGATATATTACAGTTATATTATTTTATATATGTGAAAGAAATCATCTTTTTAGTCCTGTTACCTTTTCAGCCCAAGCAAAGTTTTTGACTAACACTGGGAATTCAGTGTTACAAAGGCAAAGCAAATGAATAAATATTGGCCACTTTCCTTATCCAATATTAAATTTAATTACACATATTTATATTACAGTAGCAACTAGAGCCCCAGACCAGGTTCAGGGATCTGTTCTGCTCCATCCCTGCTCCAAAGAGCTCTCAATCTAAAGGATTTTTTTATTTTTATATATTATACATACGTACACACAGAGTATATTGTATATTATGCATCTCTATTTATTCTTTTTTATATTTATTTCCCATTTTTGGTTTTTAAATAGTGGCCTCCACACATATTGCAGACATCTGCAACATTAATGTTTAAGAATTCTGATTTGCAAGAGTTACTGTTTGTGCAAAATCCAAAGTGAAAATGTTATATACACCTGCAAAAACAAAAGCAGCACTGAAAACTCCAGCAGAAAAAGGCACTTTTTTCTCTTATTTCCTTCAAAGGAAAACAACATCTGGGAATTTTCCATCTTGAATTTTTTACCCTCTTCCACATATACAAAAATTCCATAGGAAAATTTCAGGAGCAAAAATTGGTAGTAGTAGAGTTAAATTAAACTAAACACTGTGTACTTTCAGTCCTCTGGTGTCCGTGCCTTGTCATGGCGGAACAGCTTGCATGCTCTAATGATCCCCAGGGGCTTTTTTCTCCTGGTAGGTTCAACCATGCTGGATTGGTCTGTGGGGGAGGGGCCAGACAAAACAGACACCCTGGTTCTCCAGGTTGGGAGTTAGGCAACAACCCTGTCTCGTAAAAAAACAAAATATGTTACGGAAAAAGTGACAGAGAAATCAACCATTACTGTATGTGATGGCCTTCAGGAGTCAATGACCTGTATGACTGCCAGTGGTGAGAGCCGAAAGGAAGCCACTGGCATGAAGACTGAAGTGCTCAACACCAAGACAAAAACCAAACTTGGTTTTTGGAACATACAGACAATGTACGAAGCAGGGGAGCTAGCTCAGGTCATAGCAGAGATGAGACGCTACAGCTTCCACATCCTGGGTGTCAGTGAGAGTAGATAGACGGGATCAGGAAGATTAACAGCAGCCTCGGGAGAAACTTTGCTGTTTTCTGGACAGGATGATGGACAACACCATGAAGGTGTTGCCATCCTTTTGAAGACATTCCCTGCTTGAATGGAAATCCATCAGCAGCAGACTTATTATGTTTGCCTTTCAGCCTGGCTCTCATATCACCACCCTGATTCAGTGTTATGACAGTGATGAAGAAATAAAGGACAAATTCTACCTTACACTACAGGCAGAGTTAGAGAGTACCACACCATGACCTAACTATCCTCATGGGAGACCTGAATGCCAAGATCGGTAAGGACAACGCAAACAACGAAAGAGCAATGGGAATACGTAGGTGTGGCACTATGAATGAAAACGGAGAAAGGCTTGTTGATTTCTGTAATATGAATGACAGTCATCGGCGGAACCCTATTTGACCATTGTGAAATTCACAGACTGACACTGTGTTCTCCAAATAGCAGAGATAAGAACCAGATTGACCATATCATGATCAATGGCAAATGGCGATACTCACTGACAGATGTGAAAGTAAGAGGTGCAGATGTTGGCAGTAACTACCACCTTGTGACAGCCTTCACCAAGCTAAAATTGAGAAGTGTGGGTCCACCAAACAAGGGACATAGACGTTATGATATTGACAAGCTAAAGTCCCTTGAAATACAGAAAACCTTCGTTCGGCAGTTAAAGAACAGGTTTCAAGCACTTGCAGACCTTGATGAAGAGGAGGGAAATGCAGATGAGGAGATCAACAAGAGGTGGGACAAAGTAACAGCAATTTATAAACAGAGCAGTGAAGCCTGTCTAGGCTACAGGCAGAAGAGAAGGAAGGAGTGAATTACACCCGGTACATGGAACACCATAGAAACCAGACAAGCCCTGAAGGAAAAAGTTTTAGACACAAAATCCCAGAAGCTAAAGGACAAATACCACGAGCAGTATAGCAAGGCACACTGGGAGGTCAAATGCCTTGTGAGAGTGGACAAATGGCATTATATTGATAATCTGGCAACACAAGCAGAGGATGCAGCTGCTTGTGGTGAACAAGGAACCATCTACAAAATGATGCAGCTTATCAGTGGTAAACGGCAGACACCAACAAACACTCATCAGGAACAAACAAGGACACCTACTAACAACCAAAAAAGAACAAGAAATGCACAGAGCATTTCAAAGAATTGCTCAACAGGAGCCACCTAAAGAGGACAGAAACATCCAGGAGGCAGAAGAAGATCTTGATATCAACACAGACACCCCAACTAAGGAAGAGATCATTCAAACCATCAAATCCTTAAAAAATGGGAAAGCTCCTAGCAAGGATAACTTGAATGCAGAATTGTTCAAGGTAAATCCTAAATTAGCAGCATCTATCCTGGCACCTCTATTTACATCAGTCTGGGAAAGGGAAAGTGCCAGATGAGTGGGCCAATGGGGTTATAGTGAAGATACCAAAAAAAGAACTTTCAGCGATTGTAATAACTAGCGTGGTATCACACTTTTATCTGTGCCAAGCAAAGTATTTTGTAAGATCATAGTCCAGTGTATATCAGAGGCAGTTGATAGCGTTCTCAGAAAAGAGCAAGCTGGTTTTCGGAAAGGGCATGGATGCACAGACCAGATCTTCACTCTACGAAACATAATAGAACAGTGCTTAGAATGGCAACCGCAACTCTACATAAATTTCATAGACATTGAGAAGGCTTTTGATAGCATCACAGGACCAGCCTATAGCACATTCCGTGGGCATGTGGAATTCCTTTCTGTATAACCAACGTCATCAAAAGCGTCTATTTCAACTTTTCATGCAGTGTTGATCACAGTGAGCTCAGTTTTGAAGTCAAAACAGGAGTATGTCAGGGGTGTGTCATGTCTGCAATCCTCTTCAACATTCCCATCAACTGGGTAATGCGCTATACAACAGAAGACATGCCAAGAGGCATTAAATGGACACTCTTCTCATACCTTGAAGACCTGGACTTTGCAGAGGATGTCACTCTCCTATCACATACCCAACACCATATACAAGAAAAAACAACTCGACTCAACGCATTCAAACAGCAAACTGGACTGAAAATCAACTGCAATAAGACAGATATCATGACCTTTAATATTGCCTCACCATCACCAGTACGGATAGAGGATCATGTTCTCACCAATGTAGAAACATTCACATACTTGGACAGCACCATCAGCCAGGACGGTGGAACAAGCCAGGACATCCGGAACAAAATCAGTAAAACCAGGAACACCTTCAGGAGCTTAAATACACTCTGGAAATCATCAAAATACAACACCAAACCAAACTCAAGATTTATCAGAGCTGCGTACTTTCAACACTACTTTATAGTGCAGAATGCTGGGGAATGAGAAAGTATGACATGTCTAATTCCATATAACCTGCCGTATCTTTTGGCCCAGAACAATCTCAAACCAAGATCTGTTGACACAGTGCAGCCAAGAGGATCTGAGCACCATCATTTCCAGCAGGCGCTGGAGATGGATCAGTCATGTGCTTCAGATAGAAACGGATTCCATCACCAGAGTAGCAATAAGATGGAGGCAGGCGAAAACGAGGCTGCCCGAAAACAACATGGTGAATTGCTGTGGAAGCTGAGCTGAAAAACCTGGGGCACAGCTGGGGAAACCATTGAAAGACTTGCCAGAAACAGACAGGAGTGGAGGAGCTTCATTGCTGCCCTAAACGTCAGAGGCGTAATAGGAACATGATGATGATGTGTACTATTATTTCATAAGGACAATCATGCTAGTAAGGAACACAGCCTTATAAGATTTACCAGCATCTCTTTGTATCTGTAGGCTTCAGTTCAGCCATCTGAGAAGTATGGCTCCTAGATCATGGGCCTTTTATAAGAGTCCTCTGCACCATTCACATTAATTAAATACAGACAAGTTTTTTCCGTGGCAACTAATAGCTACGATTAGCCAATGTGGTTAAATGTCTTTACATTTAGTTTTGCCTTCCCTTCCTTCTCAGAGCTTCTCCTCTTCCCTGCACCATCCATGGAACAGGTTTCCACCAACAGGAGTAAAAAACAGCCCCAGTTTCAAAGATGTACAGTAAAAATACTAACTGTGCTGTTGAATTACAGGATATGTGGCAACCTGTCACATTCCATCAGATATGCCTCCCTACTACAGTGTTAAACTTTTAGCCAGTAAATGTAGCTGTACAGAGCTTACTTTATAGTCCCCTAATTTATATATTTTCTTATACTTTTCAATATCTGATTTCAAACCACTGAAGATGAGGCATTTAACAGCAGTACAAAGAGAACCTTAAGCATAAGCTCACTGTAAAAACTCACATCAACAGCAGATTCAGTACAATTCCACAGCAGAAGGTTTTTAATCCTCTTTTAACATCATATTGCACAATTTGCACAGAACAGCTATATGAAACATAAGTGATCTGATTTAGGTTAAAAAAAACAAACAGAAAACCTATGGATGGCTAGTTTCATAATTCAAAACAGATTCTGTAGTCCCTGTTTTGCCTTTGCAATTGCAACTCATTAATTAGCACCTGTCATATGACAGGGGATGTTAAATTATGCCCTCTTGTGGTTTCTTTGAAACTGAGATAACCTATGGACAGGGTCTGATCCTGCACTACTAAAGACAATGGGAAAGTGGTCATTAAAGTCAACGAAAACAGGATCAGGACTGCAGAGTTTATGTAGGCAGAAACCCTCCCTGCTGCAATAAAGCTTTGAAAGACCTCAAATGCAGCAGAATCTGTGGGATTTCACAAGGAAGGGAAGAGCAAGTCTATGGAGATGTCATATGAGGGTGAGGGCAGCTGCCACACTCTCACAATAGATTTAGCAACTTGATTGTATAGTGCTGGTTACCAAAGCTCATACAAACAAGACTCCTATTTTTTGTTACAGAATTAGTGTATTATACTGCTCATTGAAAACATTCTAAATTTTTTGACAAAAAAGGGGGACAATTTCAGACAAAATGTTTTGACCAGCACTAATGACATATTTTTACAAACTGATGTTTGTTTAATCTGTGCTCACTCTTATTCACAGAATATTAAGTCATTTAGTAAAACTGTGAAAAAAAAAGAAAAAAGACAGTCAGTCATCTTGTTAAATAAAATGTATGCGACAGCACAGTACCTCAAAAAGATCCTTCAGTGATAAATGAGTGACTCTCAGCTTTCTCGGCAACTTGTCTCTCTCAGCTGCCACCAACATCAAGGACTAGGAAAAACAAATATTTATGAGCCTACAAGCATTCAGATACTAATTTTAATGTTTGTTGATGCATTTAAACGAACTTTAAAGGGAAAAATCTGACCAGTGCTCTCTACAGATATAATTTTTTTATTACTGCCTATCGTTTGTGATAACCTATCAGAGTCTCAAAACACTAAAGCTTCCTTTTTCTTCTCATTCATTAAATCCTTTGCCAAATTAAACACTTTTCCCCACCTGAGCTTCTCATCAGGCACAAGTTACTACAGCGCTGCAGCATTTGCCATCATGTTTATGCTCCAGCATCATCAGTGACAAAAGCAGATCTCTGGCAACATGTGTTTGCTTAAGATTCAGCTAGTGCTCTGAAGCAGGAAACAGTGCTACTCAGACCTCAGTGGTTCAGAAGCCAAATTAGCGATCAACATTATGCAAAAGAGCCACAGTAGTGTGACTTCATTGTTTCATTTACTATAGTGCTATATATTCATATTTAAGCAGTATGACAGGGGAAATATTTAGTTTATGTATATCATTCTCACAGCAAAATGACTGACCAAGTATTATTCTTGTATCAACTACAATTGGTTAACAACATAGCAAAAGCATCCTGACTGGTTAATAATTATATCACACAATGTTTTAATATCATGCTACCAAGAGCCACTTGCAGCTCACGAGCCTCAGTCAGAGTATCACTGCATTACATGATCTGTCTAGATGGTTATTACATCATTCAGAATTTAAAGAAGTACCATCAACTTCAAATCTGGTCAGTTAAAAAAAGTGAGACTTAAATTAATTTCAGACACTAATCACCTGCTAGTGAGTTTTCTAGATAGTTTTTGTGGTTTAGCAATCATATATTCCTATTTTTGTTCTCCATTTCTCTGTTGCTTGGTTAAAGACCCATACAAATCAGAAGACTGACTGGTCATACCAAAGAAACAGTAAAACTGACCATAAATGTAAATGAAGATAAATATTTTTTCTCTCATCTCTTTCAGAGATTAGTCATTTGAAATGTCTTGTAACCACAACAAACAAAAGGAAACAAATAAGTTTTTGAAGTTGACTGTGTTCCTTTCAAAAGGGAATGAGAATTTTAGAAACTATTTTATACTCAGTTTCTATTTTTTCTAATTCTAAAAATCAAGACATTTGCACAAGAGAACAATAATTTCAGATTTTAAAAGCAATTTAAGAAAATTAAAGCTTATTATTGAAAAAAAATCAGATTAACTAATATTTCTGGCACAGCAATAAACTTACCTGCCACATTCCTTTCTTGGCTAATTTTTCTATTACCACCTGCCAAACTAATGCATCAAATCTTTCATCCAAAATGTTCTTGAAAATGGAAAGAAAATATGGTGCTATATATTTTTCACCTAAAAAAATAAAAAAAGAAGCTTAAGAAAAGTGTTTAGCACATGCAACTTTTACAAGCTGTGCTCTCCAAGTACTGCAATTCATTTCATATGGTCAGTTCGTCAGTAGTGATTAATACATTGAAACATTTTAAATTAGAACATACAATTCACATAACTAATACTAGTAAGATGTCTATTTAATAATTAGTAAGGGTGCATTATTTTAAGATGCCACAGATTTCACGAACAATGTGAAATTAACCATTTGCTTTTGAAAAAATCTCTGAAGCCCAAGAAAATCTAAAACCTTCCACCAGTTTTTCTACTTATGTGTATGAACAGAATGATGTAAGTGACCAAACTGACTAAAACAGGAATGAGAATGCACGAAGCAAGTGAGAGAGAGGCATTGTCGGAAACCAGATGGCATGCCCTTGGGCTCACTCAGGCAAAGCTTGTAAACCAGACCATTGAGCAACAGTGGAGGAGGGAATGTAGGATCTTAGGAGAAAGGGGTCTGACTCTGCCACAGAAATAAGTAGTTAGTGGGATGGGAAAAGCCGAGTATCCTTTCGCATGTGTTTTTTCCCCCCCTCTTCCCACTGCTGCCATCACAGGCCTTTCTATAATTTGCTCTGGGAGAGTATTCCACAACTTAATACATCTCACTATAAGTTTTTCCTGATCTTAAGCCTAAAATGTTCTCTTTCTTCATTACTCCTAGCTATTCCTTGATCTGCCTCACTGACAAGGAAAGTGCGTGGGCTGGAAGAAACCAGTACAGCATTATGATTCAGATGGTCCTAAATTCTAGGCGTGGCTCTTCCCGGACTCTTTGTGGCCTTAGGCAAGACACTTCACCTTTCTGTCTCACCTTCCCCATCTGTAAAATGCTGGGGGGAGAGGGATGTTGTATAAATTTATCAGTTAATGTATGGTGCTTTGAAAATACCGTAAAAATGCTAAGTATTATTAAATGATTACTCTGCTTCCCTGGTGCTTACATCATTCATATATGTGAAGAATTTATATCCCCACAAGTCTTGCTTGACCAAGATATACATGTTCAGTTCTTTTTATTGTTCTCCATACCTCCATGTCACCTCCGCTCCATAATCATTTGTAATGTTCATTTATAAATTCTCTTCAATTTGTCACAATTTGTTTGTGTGGGTGTGTCACACCAGCAGGGTAGAGGACTATTCTCCAGCTCTGTGATATGACTTGGAGTATGCAGCCCAAAATTGAACTGGTGCTTTGCTACCAGATAAAGATTGCAAACTCAAGTCTAATTGGCTGCTCACTGCCACTGCAGCTCCCTTAGTATTAATGCTTCCCACTGAGTGAGCATTTCTAATTATTTTTCCCCGGACGTGTTGGCTTACATGTACTATATATTGATCTTATTTTGAGATTTTCTGCTCATATTTCTTTTACTCTCCAGGTACTTTCTCTGTCCTAACTGTGTTTACAACTCAGCCCATTTTTGTAACAACTGCACATTTCACTGACATGCTGTCATTCCTTCCCCCAGTCACTAATAGAGACGTTAGCCAAGACTGAACCACACTACAATCCATGTTACAACTGTTGAGCAACCATAACTCCAGCTGACATCAGTGGGAGCTGTGAGTGCTCAGAACATCAGAAAAATTAGGCCCTAAATCTCCAGACTGCACTTAGTTAAATTCATTGCATATATTGTTAAGCCCTAAAACCCATTAAATTAATCGAAAGATTCCCTTTCAATGGGCTTTGGATTTAGGTTTTTTGGTCAGTTTTTAATACACATGACAGTATTCGTTCCAAGCCATTCTGAATTAAACTTACTGCATTCTTTACATCCACTAATTTTGTAATTCTGTCCAAAAAGGCAAGCAAGTTTGCCTGGGAAGATTCATACTGCTCTTGGTTGTGTTTCCTTTTTAAACATTTTGTGATTGTTTCTCTTGATATCTGTTCCATTGTTTTACTAGGGATGGTAGTTAAAGTTAAAAAGTGGCAATTGAGAGGATCAATCTTCTTTTTTTTATTGCAAAATCAGTACAACATTTGCTTTTTCACCAGCTTTGTGCTGTCTCCCAGGTTATCCAAGTTTTCTGAGGCCCAACCAAACCATATTATAATTAGAGCTGGCTAAAACCCACTATCACTTCTCCTCCTTTACCCTCTCACTAAAATAATGGGAATTTCCAACCATTTGAAAACATTTTCCTTCCAATAGTGTTGTAAATTGACTGATTTTTTTTAAATCTACAGAATTATTTTCAAACGATTTTTCCATTTTTTTAAATCTAACTTTTTTTATCTTGAAAATGGAAAGAAAATATGGTGCTATATATTTTTCACCTAAAAAAATAAAAAAAGAAGCTTAAGAAAAGTGTTTAGCACATGCAACTTTTACAAGCTG